TATATATATATATATATATATATATATATATATATATATATATAATAATATTTCCCATTCATTTTGAAATTCTTTGACCAAAAATTATGCAGCTATAAGATGTGTCTTAACATTTGTGTGTTGTCAAAAAGAATGATATCATCAGGTAATTGTATATTAAGACGTGTAGTTTACAGCTGCTCATTTATTTTGAAATGTATTTGTTACCGTTCGGACTTTAAAACAAATTTTTCTGTTAGTGCTATTAGCTATAACTTTTTCACTGCAGCAAACCTGAGGAAATAAGTTTCGTCATAATTTTTCACGTATAGGTAGTTAAATTTCCTGCACGGAATAATCATTTTTTGTAATTTGAGTACTAATTGAATATATCAAAAAACGGCTATACAATTAAGATCTGGTTTCTGAGTGCATATCTTTGTGTGGTAGGGTTTTGACTGGTCATGCTTGTAAGCTTTCTTAATTATTTTAAATGTAAGTAATTTGTCTTCTCTTAGAAAATTAATTTTGTGGAGAAAACTTATTTTGTTATTCTCTCTAAGTGTCTCTTATGATTAATTTGGAGTTCTGTATTATCGGTTTTTGCGTAGTCGTGTTTTTTGTGATTGAGTTATATTGGTGCCTTCAAGGGTTTTAGGAATAATAAAAATTGCTTCTTCGTCTTGTTAATCTGTGTCAGGTTTCACAGATTCCCTCATATATGCGACAGTATCTTTGGATTTTTTGTTTATTCATTACGTAGTCATTCTTTGGTTGGTGAAGTGAGATGACCCGCAGTTGTCGATACTTTCTTGTAAGCTATGTAAAAAGGCTTTTATAAAAACAGTTTACTGTAGACAATCGAAGTTGAGGTCACAAGTAGTAGATTTACTATTCTAGATACGAAAATGATATCGTCCTCATATTTCAATTCAAATTATTGGTATTATGGAATTATATGCCTTCATTAGTTGATTGCATCTGGTTTCTGTTATTCAATATAATTTCAGGCGAAAATCATAAAATTTATAGCATTTGGACGAAGTTAAACATGTCATCTGCTCTGATTATTGGTGGTGTTGGTTTAGTAGCTATTGGATTAACAGGACGTATAATGCTGAGAAATCGTGCAGCTTTTCTCAAATTTGCTAAAATGTTACCTGTTGGAAATGATGTGTCGAAGTTCTATCGTGGTGGTTTTGAAGCGAATATGTCAAGACGAGAAGCATCACTGATTCTTGGTGTTTCACCTAGTGCTCCAATATCAAAAGTTAAAGAAGCACACAAACGAATAATGATTGCTAATCATCCTGATCGTGGTGGTTCACCTTATTTGGCTGCAAAAATTAACGAAGCAAAAGACAAATTGGAATCAATGAGATATGAATAGTTTCGACAACTGCGAATTGTAAATTCTAAATATTTGATTGAAGTTTAGTCACGATGAGGTTAGAAATTCTGCCGTTTCTTCTTGGTGCTTTGAAGTGTTATAAACAGTGTAATATATGTGCGCGCGGTGTTGCTATTTATTATATTTTGTTACTTTATAAAACTTAATTATGTGAAGAAGGTCAAATATTTGTTAGGAAAGGGAGATTAATTTTGTCAAATGATCTTCAGCAAATCACTAGTATAGCTGTACTATTTTTTCTGTGAATCTCGTTGCAATGTATGATTTGATATGAACATTACATGATTAAGCAAATTTGGATCTCAAGAGTTTATAGATCAGTTTGTTTGTGTAGTACTGAAGGTTTTCTTTAAAGAATATCGATTGGATTAAATAAAAATAAAATGTTAATAGGTTATATTAGTAGGTAAGTTAATATGGTAAGGAAAAGTAAAGGCGGGAAAATACAAGTGTGCAACACGGATAGCGAATGGGTTTATTAACACAGTAGAAACAATAGAGAAGATAGCAAAAGTTATTTTGGTTTGTTTCAGTTTTTGCTGTCACTGTATTTAGTATGAATGTTATAGTGGACTTGAACTTGAAGTTGTGAAGATTAGTAGAACATGATACAGTCAAGTAACAACAATGTTTTTCAGTGATAGTATTAATGTTTAACTGTTTAATGAAGAGACTCATCTATTATTCAATCTTGAACGGGTAATTTTTCGTAATAGATAGTCTTGTATTATGTTCTGGTAGCTTTTAGCAAAGGAAGTTTTTTTTTTCACTGATTCTAAATCTATTCATTCTAGCCACAGTCTACTTGCTTTTCTTTGTGCATTTTATAATGGTGTATGGATCTGTCCTATTATTATTTAGCAAACTTAGTCTCCTTTTTTGTATAAATTATGACTGGTGTTATCACATGTGTGATGAAGAAGAAAGAGATCACTTTATAGTGAAAATATTTGTCATTCTAAACTACAAATTTACACTAATTCTGATTTACCAGAAAATGGTGCAGGATTTTATTTCAGGGAAACAAATTACGAGGAAACGAAGTGTTAACACTACCAAGCATTTTATTAGGATATAAAGAAAAAGTCATATCAAATGTTATGCGTGTAGCATTGCAAGAAATCTTTCGTTACATTTTTCATTCGTTTAATTAACATCTAAGTCTCCAGTGAAAGAGTACATGTAATGGGGAGGAAGTAAGAACAATGATTAAGAAAAGAGTGCTAGAAGGGTGTAGATAGCGTGTGGTGGTGGTGTTTATCAAGTTGCACAGTTTTCATACTAGAAAAAAATGTGCTCGTTAAACTTTCATTTATTCTTGTCAGGTTTTACCATAAGGTCAGGTTTTAAAGGAACTGTACTAATATAATCTTTACTCAACCATAACATTTGTGTCAGAATTTGCAATTAGTTTCTGTTGTTTAATTCTTTCTGGCAGTAATCTCTAAAACTTCAATGCTAGTTGTACACTGGTAGCTAGTTGTATGTACAGAATGGAAAGTATTCAGTTTTCTGTTTCATGGAATCATTTCACATAGGTGATTACAATGTTAAGGGCATATTGTAGCAAGAAAAGAGTACGCAATGGTATAATTTACACAACAGTGTTATGTTGTATCACTCAAAATTTGTCAGAATTAAGTTTGTTCAAATTTTTATTATCTTATTGTGTTTATTTTGTAACCTATCTATCTACTTCTTGTTTATTTCCATCTTGTTGTTTTTTTACCTTTTTTATTTCATTTTGGTTGTTCTCTTCATCAAATGTTATTGTTCTATAATTATTAGTGGTCTGCAAAAAAGAATGCTGCGTAATGTTGTTGCTGCACTTCCCTTTTATTCCTCCAAAGAAGAAAAAATCATGGAAATGTATTTGTTTGTGGTGTTCAGTCGTTACGACATACTTTTCATAAATTATCATTTGATGTTTACTTTAACTGGCCGGTGACGTAATGTGTAATTTGTTACACAAAACAAATTCATTTGACTGTCAAAGATTCTTTGACCTTACCTGATATAAAGGTTGCTTCGATGTGTTTTTTGGTTTTCCACATTGATTTTGTTATCATTCATTTTTAACATCTTTTCTTTTTCAGAATGTTTGCAACTGTGGTTTTCGTCAGAATTAACATTTATTAGTGCGAAGGACTATACCATTTTTTGTATTTAATTGTTCATCATGTCTTGATACTTTTTTTGTTTTTTAATTAGAAATTTGTAATTTAGAGTTTTGCTGCCTTTGAAGTCTTGAAGACTCAATGGATTTGGCACCATTTTTGTGCAATTCATAACACATGTAGATTGGAATCAAACGAAATTGTCTGCAGTTATTGTTTTTTTCAGATGGTGATACTTTTTTAGTCATTGGTCTGTATGATATGTTCAACATTCCAACAAATTTTCTCTGAAAATCATGTTAAATTTAATGAAAGTTCTGCGCGACCGCCTTAGCAGCCTTCAACTGATTGAAGGTGAGTTTTTGTTTAATATGAAAGATTTTAATTGACGTATCAGTTCATTTTAGGATGTAATTTCTAGTTCTCAAAAAGCCCTGTGCTGCTTTCTTTAGTTTGTCTTTATTGTGCTTTGCATCTTATACCATCAATTTTAGGCATAAATTTTAGAAAATAAAGTGGTAGTTGTGCAATATGCTAAAAATTGTCTCACAAAAAATTTCGATTCTTGAATATTAATGACATCAGCAAAGATATTGACTGATGAAAAGAAGTAGTTTGCAAAATTACTCATCAGAATTCGTGAATAATTGACTTATTATCGCTAATATCAATATGTGTTACCGGAAGTTGTATTGCCTTTCCTCATTTTTTCGTGCCAGCATCTCTCTTACGAAATGCACCTTCTGAAGTTAACTTATTTTGAGAATTATTCAACCTCAGAAGAATTCATTTTTAATTAATCCATTTTTTAATAAATAAGTAGTCCGGCACTGATCCATATTTTTTCCGGTTTCGACAATGATGTTATTATTATGTTCGTTCTTCTGTGTATTATCATTTCAATCATATTTTTCACATACTATCGACAAGAGTAAGTTTTTAATATCGTATCACTTTAATGTGTTTGAGACTTTAATTATTTTGCAGTTCTTTATTAATATCTCTTTTCTTTCCATGTTTTCTTCTCCTTTTTTTTTGAAACTAAGCATTAATGAATCATGAGTCAATTTTTTTTTGTACCCTGTAATACTAATTAAGTTCCATGTTTTCCCATGAAAATCTGATCAATGTTTTCATTGTTCTTAGTTTGGGCAAAATTTCATACTCTTGTCTAGTTTTCGATTTTAGACATCAAAATAGAAATATCCATCCAGCTCTTGAAGCAGCTGTAGCAGAATTTAGACGTAGATTTCTGAGTAGTCAAAATGGAGATGGCACGTCACAAGAGTCGGGAACCTTTCCTGATCAGGTGCTTTTTATTATTTTTGATCAAAAACCTTGCTAGTAAATATCTCGATGTAAACTTCATTAACTTATTTTTTTAATCTTAGGACAGATTGAATACACTACGTCGGTTCGGAGATGATCGTATTTGTCCGATTTGTTTTGCCCAAGCTTCGTTTGCTGTTGTTACGAATTGTGGTCATCTATTTTGTTGTGAGTTTCAAGAAATGACAGTGTTACGTTCTGTATATAATTTTGTTAATGTGTGATCAGATGTGAATGGGTCGAAACTTTTGTATGTAAACTATTAATTTTTCAAGATCTTTCTACTTTTTAGGTAATTGTATTTATGGGTATTGGCAACACAGTGCTTCCTTGATTACACCTGTAAGATGTGCAGTATGCAGAGAACCTGTACGTTCATAAGATTTAAATCATTTATAAATCTTAAACCTATTGCAGTTTAGGAGTTTTAAATATTCGTTAATTCTTTTTATCACAAGGTTAATATATTATTCTTTCAAGGTGAATTTGCTGATACCACACCCAACAGAAGGTGAGCGAGAAGATAATATGGATGAGGCAGTGCGATGCGATCAGCAATTAACTGACTATAATCGAAGATTTTCTAGTGGTAGGGGGCCTGTAAGTTTCTTTTATATTTTGTTGAATATAGTGTTGTTGGTGAGTGCTGTCAGAACTTGAGAGTACTGTAACTTTCGCCAACAAATATTCTTATTTACGTGCATTGTATTCCTTCATTTATTCATTACATTAAGTAACATATTTCTGAGCTTTCATGAAACTGCGTATTATTAAATAAGTGAAGAACATTTATCATGTTTGTTTTTCGTAAAAGTATTATTTTCATTTTTCAGTTGAACAAGAAATAGGCTTTTTCTACATCAAATATCTCTTTCCCCCACATTTCATAAATGTTGTGGGTTATCGCCTAGATTTTTTTTAAACAATTAACGTTCAAATTTTTTCAGATGATTGTTTACATTCGAGACCTGCCTGTACTAATACCGCATATGTTACGTGCTCTTGTCTCGGTTAATGGATTAATGATTATGTTTCGAATTCGTGTCTTCTTATGTCTTTTTGGTGTTGCTATTTATATTTTGAGCCCCTTTGACATACTTCCAGAGGCAGCATTTGGTATACTTGGTATGGTGGATGACATTTTTATCTTATTTGTTGTTTTGGTGTATGTCACAATACTTTTTCGGCAATTATTAGCGGGGGGAAGATTGCGTTTCGGTGCTGAACAAGGTGCTCAATGAAAAAGAAGAGGGAAAAGTCATAATAAAATTTGTATATAATGCTCACCTAACTTCACTGTCATTTGTGTTAACTTATGATCTTTAAATGTTGCATATCAAAGATGAAATCATTGTATTTCTTCCTTATCATGTTTTTAGAAATGGAATTACAAGGTTTCGAAGTTTGTTGGTTTTTATCCCTCTTTTCCTAATCACTCAACCATATCTTACCTCAAAAAGTATCATGAGATACATGTAGTGCAAGTCTTAGATAAAGTACTTAAAATTGATGACTATAAAAAATGAAAACTGATTTGCATTTGCAAATATACCATTACTATTATTATTTTTTCTTGTTTTAATCTTTGCAGTGTTTATAAATTTATATTTCCGTTATCTTAATGATATGATGCTTATTTGACTTTCCTTCATTATTGATTATGAATCTAGCATTTACTGAATTTTTGTGAAAAAAAAAAGCATTCTCCATTTGTAATCTACTGGCAATAAAAGGTGAATCTCTCATTTGTAGTTTTTGATTTCAGTTTGTTACTGCACATTTTCTCTTGACTTTTCGCTGCTGCATGAAAAGCCAATATGTATCCACAATGATTTTATTGCTCAATGAAGTGTTTCCAGTAGTAATTTTAATCGTGGTTTTGCCTTCACAAATTTTGTTATCATTGCTTTTGTTTGTATGAATGTGATAAAATGTTATTCGTAATTTAAACTATCTAAAAACACTTTGGGATCATGTTACATTTTCTAAGGGACCTAAGTACAAAGTATATCGCAAGAGCCTCTAGAATCAAGATCGGCCAGTGCTGTGTCGAAGTATCATAATGAGTTAGATGGGCTCATAACGGAGTTGTAATAAATTATTTTAATATGCATAAGGGAAGTACTTACAGCGAGTAACAGCGTCATATTTTTTACTTCTACAGCCAGTGATTCTAAACAATATCACAAACTCGGCAAGCAGGAAAAGTTCGCTGAAGCACTTTAGGTTGAGAGTAATTTATTGGTGGAAATAAAATTTAAGCCATTACTTACGTTTAGCATTACTCGTAATTTTATGTAGGCAAATAATCAATGCACGGTACAATGTCACACACAGTTATGGGTTTTTAAAAATGAAGTAAGAAATCAACAGACAAAAAGATGGTAAGCTAAGTGATGTTTGAGCACGAATCACCATAGACTGAAGCAAAAATATTCTTAGTGATCATTCTAGCTTGTCTTTATAATTCTACTTCACAAGACTAGAGATGCGCGCAACTTATATAAATATCTGACTTAAAGAATAGAATAAGCATAGGTGTTACATTAACGAGCATTTTCGTCTCGAACCACTTTTACCTATATCTTCACCCATTGTTAGTGTTAAAGTTCGTCTCTTTTCCATTGCCAACAACTGCTGGAATAATTCGGTGATATTCTGATTGTCTTTAGCGCTTGTCTCGATAAAACCTGTACCCCATTTTGCTGACAACTTTTGTCCAACTTCTGAACTTACTTCACGACGCTACAAAACAACATTTCATTTCATTTCGAAATAACATTTCAGTTCAATTCAAACTTCATTTACAGAGCAGATATGAACTAATCTCTTTTTCAAAACTTGCATGAACAAACTATATTGGGAATTTGATGTGGATATTTATGAAAACGCTTTTCTCCAGTGAATATTAGAAAGATTATTTATAGATTTGTCTCTGAATCATAAGTATTACTAACTGCACTAATTTGAATTAACCAAGACCGTGACGAAATTTTGGTCAACAACGAAAACCAATATTGCACACCAAAAATCCCAATAACAAAAGTCATCTTCAAGGATCAGTGAGAGAGCAACAAAAATAAAAATATCTATCATTTTAAAATTCTAACGCCACACATTATAATAAATAAAAGTTACTTGGTCTTCATCTTTTTTGTTGCCAACAAGCATAATAGGCACTTCAGAGATGCTTTCACCTTTCACCTCTTTCATCATCAAAATTATGGGTCCAAGTTCTTCTAGACTTTGCTTGCTGAATCTTTATTATTCAATACTATAAATTTTTAGCCCCTACGAATTGATTTGTCGATACTGATAAAAATAAATTAAAAATGATAGACGGACTTCACCTTGTAATTGAATATACTAAAACGAAAGCATTTCCTTTGCTTATTGAAAGTCGTTGCATAGCGGGAAACTGATGGCTGCCGGTTGTATCAGTAATTTGCAAAGTACACACATTTTTTTGATTACAGCTG